GGGGGGGGGCTACAGAGCCTGGAGACGGTTTGATATTCACGATAGTGAGGTCTGGTTCCGATCCGTTTGTCATGCACTTTTAGTTTGATCAGTATTATCATCAGAGCGAGAGGCAGGGCTGTTATCAGTCAGGAGCTGGTTTTATTTTGAAAATCCTGCCCCCCTTTCCTCTTCCTGTCTGTGGTTCTGTGTCAGAGGAGGGATGAGTTGGTGAACCGGGTCAGAAGAACAAACCTAAAGAGCAACATCTGTGCACTCGCCTTCTTATGCAAATTTTTTATACCAGATTTGTCGACTTTGATTTTATTTTAAATCTTTTTATTTTAAATCTTTTTATTTTAAATCTTGTGCATCTGTTTCTGATTTTTATGTTTTTATGTGAAACTTAAGTCACCTTTTTTTCTTTCAACATTCTGACATCCTGATGCAGCGTGCACGTTGATGTAGCCATTCCAGGAAGAATCTTTACTTTGTTTTTTGGGCGGTTCTGTGGAACCTCCACGATCCAGAAGCAAGGAAGGGAAACCCAACTGTTGTTCGTCTTTTGGGATATTTTTTTTTTTTGTGTGTGGTTTCGGTTCCTTTTAGCTTTCAGTTTGAACTCTGCGTGCAGGCGGGTGGCGAGGGACCCGGGAAGTCTAAAACGTTCCTCCGTCAAGGTCTGAAAGCAAATTTATCCAAAGAACACTACATTTGTTCGGGAATCCTCGGCGCCACATATCATCCTGCGGGCGCTTCGCTCCCGGGGGGCGGGCTTCCTGTGTGGGGGGGCGGGGCGCTCCTCATCCTTCAGTTTTAAAGCGATCAAGTCATGATTGTGGCCTTCTAGTATTCTGTCGGTACATGTCGTCGTTCACACGTCGTTCCCGCTCATCCTGTCCAGATCCGACCGTACGCCCGCAGCGTCGTACCTCATCCACAGCTGATTCCATCGGGGGGTGTTGAGTGCAAAAAAATAAAAAATAACAACAAAAAATAATGGTTCAAAAAAAAATCTAAAAAACTAAAAGAAGTCTTTTTCTATCTTCCATTTGGTGAGATGCATTGTAGCGATATGAATAAAGAAAAAGTTCACCTGGTGTGCTGAATAACGTGTAAATTGGTAATTACACAATCTGAATATTTGTATAATTGTTTGTATTTTTTCATAATGATTTTGGAAAGGAATGTGTTTATTTTTTTGACTTCTGTTCCAGATGTGTCTTCTGTTGGCCTGACATTGTGACTGGTCTGGTGGGATTCTTACCTCTGTATTGAGCCTCTTCTGTGATGATTCTTTGTATGCAGTGTTTAGGAAATACTGTAGGGAACAAGGGGAGGAGTTGATATTAGGAGCATTTGATCAATTTGTATTTATTTATTTTATCATTTTGTTAATAAATTGTGAAAAGCACAATGTCTCCTGGCTTTGTTCTGAGTTTTATGTCCACACTCACATTTTCCCAGTCAGTCAGAGTCCAGCTGCCCTGCAGAGACTCACAGGTGAGGGGAGGGACGTAGACTGACAGGTAAACACAGCTTCTACAGCTCAGATGTCTTATTAGAGCTCACTAAAATAGAAATGAATTATCTACAGTTAAATGTTTAAAAAAGCAATAACGCTATGAAACTCTTTAATAGATAAATTTAGTTCATACAACCACAGCCCCAGGCTGCAGAATTCAAATAATTTGATGTTCTGTTATTATTAATATTATTATTATTATTATTATTATTATTATTATTATTATTATTTCTGCTTGTTTAGCACCTGTTTCAATTTATCAATTTCTAAAACTATTGTCATTATTTGTGCATAAGTTCTACAATAAAACAAACCTACAGCAGAAGATAATGGAATTAGTGATTTCATGTAATCTCGCGAGATCTCATACAACGTCCAACGTAACCGTGTGAAATGTCTCATAATCTCGCGAGATCTGATAGCGTCTGGGCGTCCTTTTGTTCTGCTTCAGTCGTACCGCATATAATGTCCTGTAACATGTTAAATCAACTTTGAATCACATAAAGTAAATGTATAATGAAGCCACTCGCGCTCACTGTATATATGATGTATTGCATCTATATATTTCAGGTCCACAGAAACTCGTACACAGCAGAGTGGCGCAGCGGAAGCGTGCTGGGCCCATAACCCAGAGGTCGATGGATCGAAACCATCCTCTGCTATCTTTTAACTCAAAGTTAATTTTTTTAAATAACTTAAAAGTTAAAGTTAATAACTTTATATGTCCTCCTCGCAAATACACTTACTGTGATTTATTTGCCCAAATACGTCATTTTCTGTTTTAACATGCCGCTCGGGTAAAATAAGAACAAACTTTTTTTTCTTTAATTCTGCATTTTTACATTAAACCTTTTTGCTCAGGAGATGCAGAATTTTATTTCTTTGTTATTGCTGTACAAAATAATAGCAATAAACCACAAAATACAACATAGCAATAATGTGCGTTCATCTAACAATAAGAGGGTTTCACGTGACGTCACGATGCAGCGCCACCAGAGCGCGAAGTTCGGATGGAGGTCAGGAAGTGAAAAAGTGGAGGATCTGCTATCAGAAAAAATGCCCACATTTTGTGTTTACGGGTGCTCCACTCATTCTAACTGAATTAATAATAGATAATTATGCACTGATTAAATTATACGTTAAATTAAATAAAATTATGGCTCTTTTTATTAATGTTTGTTATGTTTGAATCACGTTGCAGCAGGAGGATGTAAAATAGGGCTGGTTCATGGGGGAAACACCTCATTCCCCCACCCCGCCGAACAAACCTAAAACCCCCAAACTCCTTTCTGACTGAAGCCTGAAAATATTAGACGAGCAGGAAAAAATCTACATGAGGATAAAAATAAAAAGAGGCAGAAGTTGAATAAAGTTCGGCTGCTATGGAGAGACAGCGCGATCGGAAGTCAGCAATGAGATATCCGAAATTTATTACATTTATTATATTTGTATAACTATATTTCATAGTTACGGTGAAGTTTAGTAAG